TTTTTTAATTTTCCACCGCCGTCACACTACAGCAATGTTCTAGTGGCGGCGCGTGTGTTGCTAGACAAAATAAGGGGAAGGACGGAAGGTTATTTGCCTCCCTCCGCTCACAGTGTAGGATGCCATACCGATGTGCAGAACAGTGGCAGCACGGTCGAACAAGTTATGTCGGAAGGAGGGCGTGGTGGAAGGAGGAATAAACACACTCACAGGTGAGTGGTCAACCAAAGGCGACAACGTCCTTCGCGAAGGACTACGCATTTATTACGTTTTTAACTCAAGTGGTATGTACACATAAGAAAAAGGTCAATTCAATTGGGGACATCAGACCCCCCTTTACCTGCTCTCCACTCCACCTCGAAAAAAAAAAATGTTACTGCCATTCCTGGTCCTCACGCAACAAAATTTGCATCACACACTTATGTCAATCCGCAACGATAAGTAAAAAGAAATATTCCCAACACACTTCACCATTCCGTGCCTGTCTGCTTGTGTATGTATGCAAGCATGCCTCCTCGATGGGAGGGGGGTGCTACTAGCTGACTTACCCTCCCATGGGAGTTTTATTCGGTTCACCCCAAAGGAATTTTTTATGCAACAAAAGGCGATACGTTTTTCTCTAACCATTGCGTAAAAGCATACATGTGTTCTGGTTTTGCGCACGTCGCGGAACTTTCATTTCGATGGAACGCAGAAATGACATGGAAAATGTGAAAAAGGAACATCTCCTTCATTATTTGTGAATGAGTCTAAGTTGGCCATCCCCTCGATATTACGCTTTCATTAAGTGCATTATGTGTAAAAAAAAAAAAAAAAAAAAAAATATGACCTGTTCAGAAAAAAAAGTGAAAATTGAACATGCTCGCAAGAGTATACATATATATATTTATTTTTTTTTTTACAACAAAACGGCGTGACAAAAGGAGTTAGCCGAGTCGCACGTATGGTTCGTTCCAGCAGGAGAGGCCTCCTGAGAGAAGCGACATGTAAGTGTAGAAATAGGCTCTACAAAGCAGCCCAAGCAGATTGTGCTCCTAGTGAAGGAGAGACGCAAACTGACTTAAAACTTTCCACCGCTGTTATTTGAACGTGTGCACCGACCCCCCCAAGGAGGCCAAAATGAGTGCGATGTTGCTCACACCTGGCGGAGGAAACAACTCACAAGCGAACCATAGGTCAGATAAAGGGAATACATCACACGTGGGGAACCAACCCAAGGGATGCAAAAAATATAATTACGAGTTTGCGGAATGCTTCTTCAACAAGAGCGATGAGCTTAACACTTGTGCACTGGACATTGGAGGTACGTTAATAAAAGTTGCTTACCGCAGTGACCACTACATAAGTGATGAATGTCAACCCACACGGAATACACAATACCTGACAGTCAAAATTAAAGAAGACCAACTTTTGTGTGTACACTTCTTCAAAATAAATGAACTTAACGAAACGTTATCCTTTTTAATGCAAAATGGATTGATCAGACAAAAAATATTTTTAACTGGTGGGGGGGCTCACAAGTATTTCTTTAACATAATTGATCACATCGTCCAGCATGAGGTGATTGTTCGGGGGGTTGTTTCCACAGAGGAGTACCCCCTCTTGTATGTTTCCAATAGCTACTACTGCGAAACGTCACGCACTCTTTCCCTGGAGCTGCAAATAAGGGAAAATACCCTCCCCGATGGCAATACCACCCACGAGGGGGTTCCTTTTAACAAATCACTTGTGGACTCCTTCCCGGCTTGTGAAACAGTTCGAGTATATTTAGTGCACCCAAACGCGGAGCAGAAAAAGGGAAAAGGATATGTCCCCACTCAAATAAAACGCGAAGAGGCGAATAGAGCAAATGATGAGGAGAACAACACCCAGGAGAAATTGTTCCAAGGGGAACTGATTCTACAATGCAGTAGGAAGGACGAAATGCACTGCGTGATGAATGGACTATACAAATTACTTAATGTGAAAAAGAGTGTCGTGAGGTATCATTTATTTTTGAAAGCAGCAGTTCCTGTTCAAGTGAAACTTCCATATGAACCATTCATTATAGCTAACATAGGATCCGGCATTTCAATTTTATTATCTAATGGGTTCAATAAGTATATGAGGATCGGTGGGACAGCCATCGGTGGGGGAACCCTCATGGGATTGGCTCAATTGATTTTAAAGAAGGTATCCTTTGAGGAGCTTATCAGGTTAGCTGCACCCTTGGAGGGGGAGACAACCTGTTCATGGTCAGCACATCCCCCGTTCGATCTAACTTTGAGGCATATACGAAAAGACGCAGCATGCACTGGCGCACCACCTCATGGACAACACGCCGTGGCAGCGAGCTTTGGGTTCCTGAGCAATATTGTAAAAACGAAAAATGTTGAAGGAACGAAATCACTTGGGCAGGCTGTAGCCAGGAGCCTCATCACCATGGTATCGTACAATATAGGTTACTTGGTTCATCTCCTTGCACGGATCCACGGCGTGCGCAGGTTAGAGCTTTTCCCCCTTTTTTTTGCTGTCTTAAAAAGGGAGGGGTGGTAGCCGTGGCTACCATGGCGTTTGTTTCAGTACCCATGTATTATCAGTAGCGCATTATGGATTGTAAACTTGAAGTAATTTTGTTCCCCATCGCTGTTGTTTTTTTTTTTTTTTTTTTTTTTTCTTCTTCCTCGCAGAATATTCTTTTCGGGAAAATACATAAGTAACCACGAGTGTATCATAAAATCTCTTACCATGGGGGTCTACTACTATTATATGTACTGCCATACGAACGAGGGAGCAGCAAATGATAAGCTTAGCGGCAAGCGAATGGAGGGGGGAATTCGTGTGAAGCCTTCCCATCAGTGTTCCCTTTTTCGCAGAGGGGTAAGATACCAAAAGAGAGGGTGACAGAGACGGGTGTGAACTATTCCCTCTCGTCGGTTTGATACACCTTTTTGTGGAGGGATCCCACGCGGGGTGTAATTTTCCCACCAGAGATTCTACATGCAGTCCGTCGCTCGCACACACGCCCGAGGCTGCGCGCGTGGGTGCATTTTGCAGTTTGCCCCATCCACATTGCACTTTTTTTTTTTTTTTTTTTTTTGAAGGAACGCAACTGCGGCGAAGGAGCTCGCAGGGACGCACTGCCCGAAGTTTTGTTCCTCAAGCACGACGGGTTTTTAGGCGCCATCGGGTGTTTTTTCTCCTAGTGTACTTCGTCCTCCGATGGCGTTTTTTTTTTTTTTTTTTTTTTTTCGCATCACTTGGCTCATCATTGGACCGTCACTTGCGTGGTCATTTTTTTTGCCCCTTTTTTTTGATACCCTTTTTGTGCCCTCCGTGGAGAAGACGAGTAGGCCGCCACAACACCTTTGAAGGACACACGGGCGCGCTACAAAAGTGTATTTGTGTGTGTGTGTGGTGCGTGTGCTCGATGGCTACGTCCCATCGCGGTGTGTGGACACCAGGCAAAAGGCGCTGCCTGGAACGTCTTTACTTCCGCGGGGATGCACCCTTGGGAGGAGTAGCCCTTTGTCAAGCACGGAGAAAACATGACCAGCCCAGCAGCGCTCTTCCTGTGCGTCTACCACGTCGCCTTGGCAGTGTTGGGCTCCGTGTTTTTCGAAAACTACTTGTTCAAGGACTTCGACAACAGTTTCAGTATCGTGAAAATAATTTTCTGTTGTTCCTTCGTCTTGTGCTTGTCCCTGCTGTCCATGTTACTATTTGAAATACTCGGCTTCCTTACGACAACACTCAAGCTCTTTATATGGTACATAGACATCACTTGCTTGGTTCTATTCATTTACCTCATCATCCCCATCAGTTTGATATACACTTATGTTACGTATGAAGATGAGGAGGCAGCACATGGGCTCTTCAAATTTAATTATTTTTACAATGCACTCAGAAAAATGAAAAACAAAAAAAAATATATTTTACCTGAACATGTTAAGGCAAATTTTATGAGAAGATTATTATACGTAAGTGAAGACTTGATGAAACAAATGGAAAACTACAACAGAAAAATCAGATATAAAAATAAACAAAAGATTTTTCAATTCATGATTGGCTGCTTTCTTATATTACCACTCATCTGGTTCACTTTTTATAAAATTTCCATGATCACTCTGAAAAATAATAATGACATATATGATGAGTCTTCTGACTTTTACAACATTGGAAATATTATACAAGAAAAGTTTAACGATGTAAATAAAGAGTTTTCACAAGAATATGATACGAATAGTGAAAAAAATAAAAATTCTTTTTTTTTTAAAGTTATGAAAAATTTACTTATTTATATGTCTGTTACTGGGATGACATTGGTTAGTGCACTTTCTGCCTTCACCAGTTTGTACTCTCCCTACACTAACATCAGTGTCTTCTTGTTCTTCGTCACTGTTAAAAAGGTTAAGATCATTGAGAACAAAATTAAGTTTGTAACAAATGAATTGTCCTTGAAGAAAAAACTTCTTGTTTTGTATGACCATCCGCATTTAATGCAGACCTTTTGTTGCAAAAAGAGGGAAGACATTTCCACTCTCCATGGGTCTCTGCTCAGCGGCGAAAACCTCATGAGTGGTTACGTCCCCAGCGGCAATGGAAACTTCATGACTGACCGGATCGGAAGCTCCTCCTTTGGCGTGGACATGCCCGTGCAACAGACCACCACCTCTTTTCTCCACTCCCCGGACCGGGGGTACCACCACAGTGCCACGCGAGTGACAGGTGCGGACACCTCGAATGAGGCGAAGATGGGCACAGCGCTGTGCGACCACTTAGTGGGGACCTGTAACGGGGACGACCCGCCGGGGGAAAAAATTCCCCAAATGCACAGGGACACACATCAGGAAGAAGTCGAGTATATTGGATGCAAGCCTTTTAAAAAATGCAACCTGTACTTGGGCTCCCACAAGTCGATCTACAAAGACATATACGAGACTTTCATGAAAAAGGAAAATGACTTGGTCTTGGGCGACACGCTCCCTGGCGGGGAAGACGACGAAGAGACATGCATGGGGGAGGACAACCTGTCCAGCCTATCGGTCCTGTCGAAAATGTCGACCCTGTCTAAGCGTTATAGCGCGCGCGAAATGGCAACCCCGCGCAGGGCCGGGCAGGACACCCCACTTGCCCATTGGAGGGGGGAACAAACGTCAACTGGGAATTGCATGGATGTGGGTGATGTGGGTGATGTGGGTGATGTGGGTGATGTGGGTGAAGGGGACGATGCGGACGACGGCGAGTGTTGGGACTGCAACCCCAGGGGACAGAAACATAGTAGCATTGCTAACTCCGCACAACGGATGAACAAAATGGGTAGTGGCAGCTCGCTCTACAAGAGAAGCATCAAGTCGGGGAACTCTGTGGGGGAGAGGAAGCATGTGTATTACACGGGTCGCTTCCTCTTTTTCAAAACAACTGAAGGGGAGGAGAAGCACCTGAACTCGAGGCAGCACGAGGGGGGAACCGAAATGATGGACTCACAAGTGGGGCGTGAACTAGATTTAGAAGCTACCGCCGCCACAGGCGAGGAGAAGGAAAAGAAGCAGAAAAGGGAGGTGGCCTTCCTGTCGCGCTTGAGGGGTATCTGCTCAGTGCGACGATTTTTTCAACACAGCGAGATGGGGCCGCAGAAGGGTACGAAGGAAGGCGTTGCAAATATTATTCATAAAGCCGCTAACAATGACAGCGCTGCGGCACCGCAGCAAAGGAGACACATGTCTGAGTTTCTGTCCACGAGCATAGAGCGATCGTACAGGACGCTGAAGAGCGTAAAGGACTTCTTCAAGCGAAACAAAGCAAACGCAAAAAAAAAAAAAAAAAAAGAAATCCTCATGCAAGATATTAAGTCGTTAGAATATATGGCCAAAAATCTCTACTTCCTCCTGGATGACGTAATTAAGGAACAGATTAGAATAAACCACAGCTCCTCCTTCACTGGTATGTTACTCTACCTCCTCGGGATCCTCATGTCAATCTTGTGTGTATACAAAATAACCAAAACCTGTTATATCATTTACATGGTGGAAATATACTACAGATTTATCTGTACGTACAGCAGTGGACATGTCCTCATGCTGTTTTACGCAAAAAATATTAACATTGATTTTATAAATGATATAAAGAAAGTACTACACATTGTTCACATTAATATAAACCTCGAAAATTATGTCGTTTCTATCACTTCAATTCTGTTGTTATGCTTCATTTTTACAAATCTTAAATGCTTCATGGAGAGAATAATTAAGCTCAGGTACTCTACCAAGTCTTCCCTTTACTCCAACCTTGCCATTCTGCTCATGTGTGAAATTATGGACTTATATTTTTCTGCGTATTGTATTCAGTTGTTTGATTATCTTCCTGCCAAGGAGAAGATGAAGATGCTTTACATTTTTTTTAACAATAACCTGCTGGACTTGTTCAAGCTCAAGTACCACTTTGATTTCGTTTATGTCATTTCCCTCTTCATTTCGCTCTTCCTCATTCGCCTGCACCATCAACAACGCTCCAGCCAGTTCCGCGAAATATGATGCCACGCGAGTGGGGGGGCATGTACCACACAGCTCTGCGATGACGTCGCGCCGACCCCCACCCCCACCCCCACCCCCACCTCGCGAATGGGACCAAAAAAAAGTAAAGCGGCACAGACGTGTCCTCCCCTTAACAAGAAGTGCCCAAATTCGTAACCGTGTGCTTTTTTTTTCCCCCCGGGTGAAATTTTCCGCTTTTTTTTTTTCTGTTTAAACTTGACGCGGCCTTTTGTTAAGCCGTGTGAAGTGGCGTAGGGGGAAGACACCTCCACGTATGTACCAACCCCCCCTTTTTTGTTTTTTTTAAGGATCCAAATTTTGCTGCGTGAAGAGGCCATACTGTGCGACGTAATCGGCCCAGGTCTTCTTCTGACTCAGGAGGGAAGTAACAATTCCGACCAGCTCCGACAGGTTGATCCTGACCTGTAGCATGGAGTCCCTCTCTCGAAGCGTGACGGTCTTGTCCTTCAACGTCTGGAAGTCGATGGTAACTGCAAAGGGGATTCCTATTTCATCCGTTCGAGCGTACTTCTTGCCAATGGAGACACTAGAATTGTCAATTTTGGAGGAGATGCTAAACTCATTTAGAATCATTTGAACCTGTTTCACAAAAGGAACAAAATTCTTATGATTCGATATGGTTAACACAGAGCACTTTATAGGTGCCAATGCGTAAGGTAAGGAAAGGTAATGTCTCTCTTCCTTTTCATCTGTAAAGGTGCGGGTTCGAAATGAATGCTCGATTATACAAAAAATAAGTCGACCAATCCCAAATGAAGGCTCAATAACATTAGGTATGAAATTTCTTTCCTGGACTTTCTTTTTGCATTTTTCAAACTTGATCATATCTCTGGTCAATTCGAACGACACGGGGGCAGTAGCAGTAGCAGCAGCAGAACCACTCACATGGATGTTGACCACATAGGAGTTGTTTCTGTTCAGCTCCTCATCAACTAATAACAATTCTTCCTTTGTCCTTTCATTTAGCCACTGGTAAATAATACTCTGTTGACTTTTAAACTTCATCCCTATCTTGGCTTTGTTTGGAGAAATTTTTATATGCTCTTCCTCCACGGGGGAATCATACTTCTCGCAGGCATATAAGTTAGCTCCTGTTACTTTCATGTGATTCTTCAAATCGTATGCAGATCTGTCTGCGTGTCCCACCACTTCAATAAAGCCGTACGAGGTTAAAATTTCGGCGTCCCAACAATCATTTGCATAATGAGCCATCTCAGTGGCTAAGTGCTGTCTGAACCTGAGACCATCTTTGTTAATTCCACACTTTAGAAGGAACAAATATGTCCTTGCAAGGAAGTAGGCCAAGGCTTCATTAGCAATAATACCCTTGTTGACTGCTTCTTCTATTTCCATATAAACTATCCCATTGTGTTTTTCTCCAATAGCCAGTTGCTCTTGTCGTGGGTACAAGGGAAGGATGAGGTGTTTGAACAAATGGTATTTTTCATGGCACTTATTATCTGGGTTCACAAAATATTCAATTTCAGCCATTTCAAATTCACGTACACGTAGAAGACCATTCCTAGGAGATATTTCATTTCGAAAGCCCAACCCAATTTGTGCTCCTGCGAAAGGCATTTTCCCTCCATTATACTCTAGCAGCTTTTTAAAATTCACAAATATCCCTTGAGCAGTTTCTGGCCTCAAAAATGCTATATTGCTCAAATGGCTTGTGGACGACTCATTTGATTTTCCCCTCTGTGTAGTGTTACCATCCTCTACGTCTTCCTTCGGGCCGATCCTTGTCTGGAACATGAGATTAAAGGGGAAAGGACCTACGAAGTCATTCTTGGAAGGAGATTTTATATTATATTTCTTTATGAGGTCTTTTATTTCTTGCTCGTTCATTCCGTCCAGTCTCCTCACAATTGCTAACATTTCCTCGGCGTCCTCCATTCTGCTACCCGGATCCATTTCCTGATCCTGTTTACCCACCACTGGTTCATCCTGTTCTGTTCTGTTCACCTCATCCTGCTTCTTCTCCTTCTCCTTCTTGTGCTTCATCTCCTTCATCTCCTTCTTTTCTTGTACCCTACTTGTTAGGTACTCCGCGATATATTTGTCTGCTCTGTAAAAGTCGCCAGTCACGGCATCCCTAATCATGAGGTCTGTGAAGCGGTCCACATGTCCTGAAGTCTTCAAAACACTGTAGGGGGTTATGCACGTGCCGCATATCTCCAACATCTCATCACAAAAAATGAAATGGTACCTCCAGAGGTTTTCAAGTTGTGATTTCAGGAGACAACCAGAGGGACCATAATCTATTAGACCTGAGGAACCTCCATAAATTTCAAATGAGTTTGTATAAAAAAGTTTCCTTTTCGCTAAATTATCCACTTTGATTCTGTTAGTGGCTAAATTTAGTGGCTCGCTTGGGATACTATACAACAGTTTCAATTTCCTTTTCTTTTCTTCCAACGACTTTTCATTTGCGTCGTGTTCCTTTTTGAGCAACTCATCATCTATACCGCGAATACAGTCGTTCCGCTCGACCAGGGTTGATATTTCTTGGCTGCACCTTTGTATTTGCTCCTCAATGCGGGTCGCTTCTTCGGCGGCTGAGCCACTTGCTTTCACGTGGCCTTCTTCCATGCTTCTCAACGGAGCGTTGCTTAAAGTAGCCCTACTTAACGTCGCCTTGTCCGCAGTCACCCTGCTCCTCACAACAGAGTAGTATCTTCTTTTTCTCTCCACGGGCACGAGGCTGTGTACGATGTACGTGGCCCTACTGTGCTTGTTCGCGCGAAAGGTGCTGAGGCTCGCCCTGGGCAGCTTGGAGTTCACTCTGCTAAGAACGTGACAGCGCGCCTTCACTTGCAGGGGTACCAAAATGAGTAGCGTCCCGAGAAGTCTCATGTACCTTCCCTTCGTGCGCCGTCGTGTTGGGGTGCGGGGGGAAAGGAACGAATAGGTTTGCCGCGCCCTTCTACACGCAGTTGTCAAGCGCCTGCAAATAGGTTAATACAACTTTACGGGGGGATGCTATATAAACAAAACAAAGGTGGGCCGCGTCCCCCGGGGGTGGCAGGAAAAACGGCTGAAAAATGCTCTTAGGGTTGATCTGCGCACGGATTCGAAAAAAAAAAAAAAACAAGCAGCCACATGAAAGAGGGAGAAGAAATAGCCTCAGAAAAAGTGCCCTCAAAAAATAGTTTCCAAAATAACGTCAAAAAAATGTGGGCAAAATTCCGAATGCTGTCGCAAAATATTTTTGAGGCAATTTTTTGGGACGACGTGCGGAAATATATAAAGCGGCATGCGGCAGCCAAGTTGCATCCATCCACGTGCAGCCGGTGGCGCAGCACCCTATAGGCAGATCTGCAAAGGGCGAAAAATAACTTCCCTTTAATTATAAGGCATCATTAAAAAAAAAAATTTTTTTTTTTTTTTTTTTTTCCTGAACATATTTACGCCAATAAATATGTACACTTGGGCACAACTTCATGTGAGCATATTCAGGGGAGTGTCACCTGTTTGTGATTGAACATTTTTGCTTTGCTGATGTTCATGTCCTGGCCACATTATAATTAGAGAAAAATTACCCGTCGTGTGGGGACGGCCTACTTCCCGCTCTGCTCCTTTCAAAAGCATATCAACATTATGGCCGTCTGTCCACTGTTCGCAAAGTGTGGGATCCATACATGACACAGTGTGTCTGAGGGATCACTGGTGACCACCTGCACTTGGCGAACAACACATGCTAGAGGACCGCGTATCTCGGTAGCAACCTTACCCTGTGCATGTACATCATGGCAAATTTGTATAAGAGAAGACTCTTCACACCTCTCCCAAGTTACCCCTCACCTCCGAGGTGTAAGGGACACATATAAAAGTTCATCCCACCATTATCAAACCTATTTTGCGAAGCTGCCGGGGCTTCCTACCAGGGCATTTACACACACAGGAGAATTAGCAGCTAAACGGAGAAGGTCTCGTTCAACCATGAGCATATAAAAAGGGAAGCAACTGCTGGGGGTCAGAGGAATAATTTCGACTCCCATTCCCCGACTAACTTTTAACATTTGTGGTTTTTTCATGGGGGAAAAAAAAAATTATAAAAAATAAAATTCAATAAAGACAAAAGTGGGCCACACGGCATGGACAAAAAAAAAAAAAAAAAAAAAGTTATAACTCTAATTATTGCGAACGTGGGGCGTTTCCCCCAAAACGGAACACACGTGAATAGGGATGCGTATGCACATGCTTACACGCATTATTTGCCCACACGCACACATTAGTGCATTCACGCATGAGGCTTCGGCCCCACGTGCGCGCCTCACTTGTACGCATTGAGCAGGTCGTCGATCTCGAGCATGTTGTTGTAGGAAAACTTCCTAATGACGTTTTCCCCCTTCTGTTTTAGAATATCCTCAATGTTCGTCTTCCCCTCCTGGAACCACCCGAGCTGGTCTGAAATCAAATGGAGGTTCTCACAGGACGGGCAACGAATAATAACCACCCCATTATTGTATGCCTGCTTGGAAAATTTTTTCACACTTTTTTTTTCGCATATTTTGCATGTAAACATGAGCACCATGTATTCCTTTTTGACTTGGTCACTTTCCGGTTCTGTTGCAGATTCTGTTTTCATCACATCGGTGGTTGTACCATGTGGACCGTCACTTGACACGGACTTACCATCTTCATTCAGTTGAACAATATCGGTAGCAGCCCTGCTTACATGGCCGCTTTCCCCTTCACCTATTTCCCCCTTGCATGCATTTTGATCATCCGATTTGTCTCCCCCTCCATTTAGTGTCCTAAAATGCTCTTTACCAAATGACACCCGGTTGTCACTGCGGCAAGTCCCACACAGGATTTCCCTTCCATGCGTGGACAACGCACATGTGTTTTTAATTTTGTTTTCACAGGATCCTCCAGGGGGGCGAAAATAACCAATGAGCGTACTTGCTGACATTTTCCTCGTTCCAATTTGCGTCCTCCGGGTTGCGAAGCGGGTCAGCACATGCCCCACCGATTGCACCACCCCTGGCGCCATTTTTGCGGGTCACTTTTGTCTGCTGCTTAAAACCATTCACGAACGCACAGAGGGGGGGGGGGGGAGGGAGCCTTTCACTTTGGTTGCCTTATGATTATATTCTCGCGCACGCGCAGGCAAAAGTGCCCCTGCACCCGTGTAGATGAAGAACTTTTTATTTTTATTTTATTTTTTTTTTTTTTGTGTTGTTCCCCCGCACACGTTGCGCTCACGTCGTGCCGTTGTCACTGCCCAGTCCTCTGTAACACTACACGTAGTGCTCCCACAAGGGTGACAAATGTAGCCGTGAACATGTGGGCGATACACCACTGCACAGAACGCTGCTGTGGATTTGGAAACACCCACGGCTCTGCCGACTCGTTCGCGAAGCCGTCAGGGGAGCGCGCCGCACGGGATTGCGCAGGCAACACGCGAGTGTGGGCCCCCCCTGCGTGGAGTGAGAAAAATAGCCGAACG